ACTGGATGCCATGATCTTAGTTTTCTGAATGTTGAGCTTTAAGCCAAGTTTTTCACTCTCTTTCACTTTCATCAAGAGGCTTTTTGGTTCCTCTTCACTTTCTGCCATAAGGGTGGTGTCACATTAGGCAATATTAACTTACACTAACAGAATAGAGTTAGTAGTTATCAGTATTTTCTATTAGGCTTACTGTTTGGTGCTTCACAACAATCCCAGTAGATTTTACAAATGAAATGAGTCTCAAAAGGTTTAAAGAATATGATTTGCTTAAGGGAACAGTTTTTAATTTCAAACTCAATTTGTCTGACTCAAAGCCTTGGTCTCTATTGCTCAATAAAAAGAAGCAGTCAGAATAGATAAAGTGGTACTCTTGAAGATTACTCATATGACATTTATAATATAGTTTTTAGTTTTATTTGCTCTGTTTTAAAAGAAACAGTGACATTGTAAAATACTTCGAGAACAGGGTATGGCCTCAGGGGAGGAAGAGCTGAAAAAGGCTGTCCTTTCAGGGACAATTGAAGACACTAAAGAGAATTTCCTTGGAGTGGGAGTATATTCTGTGTGGCTACAGTAGTTGGAAGAAACAGGGCCAAAGGGTACAGGTTATGAGAAAGTGTTAATAGATTTAGGTTGGATACAAAACAGCTCTCTTAGAGGAGATTTTTAAAAATAGAATAGCTTTTTGAAAATTGAAGCCCTGTTTAAATAGGTATTACTGATGAGAGTTTTATAAGCATTTTACACCTCACAAGGAACATTTTTGACAAAACTGTAATTTTAGTCATAACCCCAGGGTAGGGGATTGTCCAAGATCTCCTGCTGTGTGTCACTGGTAGAATTAGGATCTTTCCTAAGTGTGACTCAGTATTTCATGCTATTTCCACTTTAATAGGCAGATGACCATGTATCATAGGAAATAACCATATCTGAGGAAGAAGTTAGACTGTATTGTTATAAATTTCTCTTCTGACTTTGAAAATCTTTGATTTTCTGAAGATTAAAATTTGACTTCTTTTGCTTGTTCACTGCTTTGAAGCCTTTGCCTAACCCATCTCCCAAATAAATGCTTATCTTTAAACTTTGTTTTTTCTCTTATCTAAGTAGTTTCTAAAAAAAACTTCCATCTTTTAAAATTTAATTCTAATCTTTTGCAGTCCCATTCCTCCTTACTCAACAATCCCTTCTGCATCTTTAGGAGGCTGGAAAATCCTAATAAATCAGTTTCCCCTTTTCTTTACTTCCTCCCTCAACTGCCCTTCCTCCAATTTAATTTTCCTACAGAATCCAAAATTCTTGATCCTTTATGCTGACATTTGTGACTATAATAAATATTTTTTCATGATTTCCAGTGGCTTAGGCACTGACTTCATCTTTGCCAACAAATGACCAAAGTGATGATAGTCTCTTATCTATCACCATCTTTTATCATCTTTAAGGTATTGGTACTTATCTTGCCCCTTCGCTCATATCCTTCTTACTTGGAAGGTCTCCTTTTTTGCCATATGGTTTTGATCTTTGTTTTTACTCTTGCTTGTTTCTTTAATCACTCTTTAATTCTTCCCTGTTAGCTCTGTCCACCATCCCCTTTCTGAAAGTACCAAGAATATCAAACCAGAATTCCACTTTACTGTTATACTCCCCTCCCAAATTGCTCAACACCTTGGTTTGTTGTTCTTGTTCATTTGCTCTGTCGTGTCTGACTCTTTGTGACCCCATGGACTGCAACACAGCAGGCTTCCCTGTCCTTCACCATCGCCCGGAGCTTGCTCAAACTTATATCCATTGAGTTGGTGATATCATCCAGCCATCTAGCCCTCTGTCATCCCCTTCTCCTCCTGCCTTCAGTCCTTCCAATGAATATTCAGGATTGATTTCCTTTAGGATTGGCTGTTGATCTCTTTGCTGTCCAAGGAACTCTCAGGAGTCTTCTCCAGCACCACAGTTAAAAAGCATCAATTCTTCGGTGCTCAGCCTTCTTTATGGTCCAACTCTCACATCCATACATGACTACTAGAAAAACCAATAGCTTTGACTCGACAAACCTTTGTCGGCAAAGTAATGTCTCTGCTTTGGTACATTTTGGAAATTTCTCAGTCATGTCTGACTCTTTGCGTCCTCATGGACTATACAGTCTATAGAATTCTCTGGACCAGAGTACTGGAGTGGATAGCCATTCCCTTCTCCAGGGGATCTTCCCAACCCAGGGATCGAACCCAGGTCTGCATTACAGGCAGATTCTTTACCAGCTAAACTACCAGGGAAGCCACCTTGGTTAATGGATTACAGATCATGTTCCAAGAAATGTAGGATTCTGTAGTGATCCTTCAGTGACTCCAGAAAGACTGGAAAACATTACTCTACCCTGCCTGAGTGAATCCCCAAGGCTCAGGGTTTGATTTTCCTCTTGTTCTGTATTCCTTCTTTCTGGACTTAACTCAGCCTTGAAACTTCCTTTCCAATTACTGGTTCCCCCAACTCATCCCTGTTGGTTCATACATTTCCCACAACTGAGTCAGCTTTTCCTCTGCTCCCTGTATATTGTCATTTTGAACACTTAAGTACTTTTGCTTTATGGTACAGTTGTTTAAAGCTAGTGAAAACTCCTTTTATTCACAATCTTTATTCCCTAAATTTAACACAGTACCTTTTCCTTGGTAGGAGCTTGGTAAACAGTTAATGAATTGAGTCCATTTGTTAACCAAATTAAGTTGTATGTACCCTGTTCAGGCTGTAGCCCACTGAGACCCCCTGCCTCCATGGGGAAGGTTTTATTCCCCCTTTCTTGTTCCAGCAGCCAAAAAATGAAACCAAAGCGTAATTGAAGCATCAGTGGCCAGAGAATGGAGAAGTGGGAACTTAGTTCAGTAGTCAAATTATCCCCTTAATGGCAAGCTGCTGCTGCTGCTAAGTCGCTTCAGTCGTGTCCGACTCTGTGTGACCCCATAGACGGCAGCCCACCAGGTTCCGCCATCCCTGGGATTCTCCAGGCAAGAACTCTAGAGTGGGTTGCCATTTCCTTCTCCAATGCATGAAAGTGAAAAGTGAAAGTGAAGTTGCTCAGTTGTGTCCAACTCTTCGTGGCCCTATGGACTGCAGCCTACCAGGCTCCTCCGTCCATGGGATTTTCCAGGCAAGAGTACTGGAGTGGGTTGCCATTGCCTTCTCCGTAATGGCAAGAGGGATTTGCTTTTAAGGAATAAAGACAGTAGGGAGAGGAGTAAGACTAATGATAGGGAAGTATATGCATTAGTTTTCTGGGAAAAAGGCAAGCAAGGTTTTCCTGGAAACGGACACCACTACCTTTCTGTCCTTTTTTGGTCAGTGACTTCCAGTCATGGCTGCAGGTAGTAGTGTCATTTTGTACATCAATGTAGTAAAAACAAAATCACTGTAGAAAGAGATTCAGGGTCTGTTGGAGATCAAATTCATCACCATCTTGATTTCAGTTTTTTGATATCCAGTTTTTTGTTTTTCTCTCCCTATAACTTCCTCTGTGTCCAGACCCTGTGATTAAAGATATGTTAGTTCCTGTTCAAAGGAGGGGTTGGTTGGTTTTGAGCAAGGGTCTGGTGACAGCTCTGGACACAACCCATACTATTTCCAGAGCTTTTCAACTTCTCATCATGCCTACTTCCCCTCTCCTCTTAATTGATTGATTAAACAACATTCTTCTCATAACAGTCTTTGGTTGTTTCCTATTGTTGGTTGTTTCCTCTTGTTTGTAGGATAAAGTCCACTAGGCATTCATCTCTAGACCCACAAATTAATCTCTACCTTTGAATCCTTATTTCTCACTGTTGCAGTAACAGTGCAGTCTTTTTTTTGCAGTCAGGCTGGTCCATTAACTCTCCTGAAATTTTTATTTCCCTTCTCTTGTTCTTGTTATTTCTCTACCTGGAATGCCTTTGTAGGCCTCCTTTTCTTTTGCTAATTCTCCCTGATCTTCAAGATGTTTTCCATAAACGTGCTAATCTTTGAACTTTTAGTAAATAAGTGTATACTATTTGGTACTTTATTATATATTGGTCTGTGACCTTTTCTTTAAGGTTGTTAGGAGACATTATTTAGCTTTTTATCTATGCATGTATTTTATTTCCTTTATTAAATTGTCCATAATAAGTTAGACCAGCAGTTACAAAGAAACTTTCTACTTTGGGATCTGTAACTAGTTTTCTATTTAGACTTAGTACATTTTTTGGGTTTTTCAGGTTGTGCATCTTAAAGTAAATAAATTGAACTAAATTTCCTAAACTGTTCTGTATTCTGCTAAAGGCGGGGGTGGGGGGTGGCGGGGAGGTGTTAGGGGGTGGGGATGATCACAGAAACATTTTAAAGATACATTATTCATTTAAGCATTTTTTTTAACATAAGGTATAATTTTTTAGATGGTAAAAAATAAAGTAGGGAAGGAGGGAGGTGTGTTACAATTTTAAATAGATGGGCAGATAGGCAAAAAAGCCTCTCAGAGTGGGGGATATTGAGTGAACACCTGAAGGGGCTATAGGAGCTGACATCCAGGAGAAGAGTACTCTGGACAAGGGGAATAGTGTGTACAAAGACCCTGAGGCAGGATGTGTATGTGTTTTGAGTAATAACAGAGTTCCATGTTTATGCAGCATGATAAAGGTAAAGAGTAGTTGGGGAAGTCAGAGAGCTAAATGGCAGGGCAAGATGTTACAGGGCTAGAAAAGCCATTGGAAAGACATCACATTCCTTGTTATAGTCCATGGGATATTTTCTGTGGAATACCTTGTATAGGGATACAATTCTGAGTTTTCATAACTGTAGACTATATACAACTACAGTTGTAATAACTGTAGACTATCCAAGAATGAGGTAATTTTAACCAAATCTTAAGAATTTTATATTCTATTTTACTTTGAAGAAGTGGTAATAACTCAAGTATACACCAGAGTTCACTACCTATATTGGTTCTTTTGCTTTAAAGTTTTTAATTATAACTTAATTACTTTTTTTATCATAGGTAAATTAACATGATGGATTTCTCCAAGCTCCCCAAAATATGTGATGAAGATAAAGAAAGCACATTTGGTTATGTGCATGGGGTCTCAGGACCTGGTGAGTAATACGTAATAATCATAATAGTAAAAATCCCTAATATCAGTTAATATCTTTTCAAGGTGTTTTAAGCAGAAATACACAAGTTTCTCTTCACCTATGTAAATTCTCTTTAGAAGATTTCATTCCTGCTGTAAGACTGAGGCAATACTTCTATCATAAGGGTTGCTATAACATTTATTATCTAAATTTGATAATTATTATGTAAATGGATAGATGGTGTTACATGTCTTAAATTTTTTTGTTAAATCTGAGGTTAAAAGGCTATAAAGTTTATAGGTTTTATTTTGTGATACCTAAATGTCTGTTAATGTGATTTAAATTTTAGTAATTGCTTTTAGAACATTTCTCAGAAATATCAACCATGGCTCTTTGCGTGTATAAATCCTTCTGAGTGATGATTCAGATATCACGTAACTAGCTACCTGTAGCAAAATAGTCTTATGACATGATAATGAGAATGGAAAGCAGTTTATGTTTGTTTTGCCCACAACTTGGAGTACTGCATTTTAAATAATAAATAAATCTCCTCCTAGTATTAAGTTTGTTATTCCACATTTCCACTGCAAAATATGATTCAGTTTCTCTTGGTAAAACTACTCATTGATTTGTAATCTTTAGTGCCATGAAAATTCACTTTTCCTTGTCTTTTTATAAACCTCATGTTGTAGTCTTTTTGATGTTCTAATCACAATAGAGGTGATGGTGCTTTTGGGTGTTAATACAAATGAAGATTATCAGTCACTGGGCTGCTTATTTCTCCCTAGTAAGCTTCTACTGCTTAGAACTTGGTGTTTGAGCTTGAATTTTTAGCAAATATAATATATTTCACTATTTTCAATCTCTTCACCATTCAGAGAAACATCTTTTCACCTTGTTGATCATAAGGCCTTTAAGGAAGACAGACTGTACATAGGAACTTTTAGGGAAAAGGCAAAGAACACTCTCAAAAGAGTTTATGTGAAAATAGTTTTCTGAAATTTGTCAACACTTTAGTTATCTGTGGTATTTCAGTGTGGGCCTCCCAGGTGGCACTAGTGGTAAAGAACGTGCCTGCCTATGAAGGAGACATAAGAGATGTAGGTTAGATTCTTGGGTCCGGAAGATCCCCTGGAGGATCTTCCTCCCACTCCAGTATTCTTGCTTGGAGAATCTCATGGACAGAGGAGCCTGGTGGGCTGCAGCCCATGGAGTCACAGAGTCAGACATGATTGGAGTGACTTAGCACACAGCACACATTTCTGTGCTTCTTAATTATTCTTATAGATACAGAGGTAAATATTGATAAAAGAAATAAATTTCCATTGTTCTAATGTAAGTTAAATAAATATTAATTCCCTAATAGTTTCTACTTGAATATTACCTAATTCATAGTTCTAATTAATTGTATCCGAAGGCTAAATATTGAAATAGACTTACTCCATTGAGGCCTGCGCAGGTCCCAGCCTGTCTGTGGTTTGGGGTTGCTATCTGCCTCATAGAGCAAAGTAGAGGCTTTGTCTTCTGGGAGGACAAAAGTCGTCTTCTCCTGAAAAGAACTCTTACACAGTTGGCATTGGCATCTTCCAGGAATAGGAGGGCAGGAATTGAGACCTTAGGAGTCTGGTAGGGAGAGGCAGAGATAGAAAAATTGAGGTTCTAGAGAGATGATGTTTGTTGTAACTAGAAAGTTCAGAGTAGGGTATTGTTACCTCCAGAACTCATACTGTTAACTCTGCTTGGCTTCGTGACAGTCATAAAAATGGATTCCTTAATAAAATAATAATACAGTTTCAAAAAAAAAAAACACCATAGACTTATTCCTATACATATCTGAAAACATACAACCTTCCCCTCCTGCCAGAAAAGTAACTTTTGCTTGCTGGGCAACATGATCCAAAATAATAAGTGCAAATTCTAATCCAGTATTTATAAGAAATAGGGATTCTTGATGAGGCTTTCATCCAGCGGTCATGACTGATTATAAACATCCTGTTTGTTGTTGTGCTCAATCATGTCTGACTCTCTGTGACTCCATGAGCTATAGCTTGCCAAGCTCCTCTGTCCATGGGATTCTCCAGGCAAGAATACTGGAGTGTGTTGCCAACCTACTCCAAAGGCTCTTCCTGACCCAGGGATCGAACCCTAATCTCTTGCATCTCCTGCATTGGCAGGCAGATACTTTTACCACTGCACCACCTGGGAAGCCCAAATGCAAGTGGGAGTTTTTCTAGGTAGATCTGTCCAAGAAGAGTTTCAACAACTGCTAGTATAAAGTGTTAGAAAGTAAAGTTGTTGTTTTATGTGATATTTCTCAAAGGAATGGTGAAAACAGAGCATGCTGATGATTGTTAGTTTTAGTCTTTTATTATTATTATTACTTTTCCAGTACCCACCATTCCTTGTATTATAGCAAGCTAGGTTGATCAAAACTTGCCTAAGTGCTACTAGTTAAGAGTTCGATGTTTGTTTGTCATATAGAACTTCAAAATGAAAGTAGTATTCATGTGTATCATGTAAACAAGTAATCTTAGCCTAAAGCCTAACAAAATTTTATTGTTTATCCCATCTATGACATATGCTAAAAAATGTGTCTTTTTATTAACAAAACAAAAAGAAACAGAAGAAAATATTTGCAGTGATGTGACTATAGAGGGTTAATATACAAAATATACAAACAGCTAATGTAACTCAATATAGAAAAACCAAAACAACCCAATCAAAAAAAATGGGCAGAAGACCTAAATAGACATCTTACCAAAAAAGACATACAGATGGCCAACAGGTACATGAAAAGATGTTCAACATCACTAATTATTAGAGAAATGCAAATCAAAACCACAGTGAGGTATCTTCGCACAGCAGTCAGAATGGCTGCCATCAAAAAGTCTGCAAATAATAAATCCTGAAGAGAGTATGGAGAAAAGAGAACCCTCCTACACTGTTAATGGGAATGTAAATTAGTATAACTACTATGGAAAACAGTACAGGTTTCCTTAAAAATAAAAATAGAGCTACGTATGATTCAGCAGTCCCATTCATGACTATATATCCAGAAAAGAGTAAAACTGTAATTTAAAAAGATACATGTACCCCAGTGTTCATAGCATAACTGTTTATAGCAACCAAGATCCAGAAGCAACCTAAGTGCCCATCAACAGTTGATCAACTTAAGAGGATGTGGTATATATACACAATGGAATGTTATTCAGCCATATAAAGAATGAAATATTGCCGTTTGCAGCAACATGGATGAACCTAGAGAATCTTACACTTAGTGAAGAAAATCAGACAGATAAATGTGTGATATCCCTTATATGTGGAATCTAAAAAATAATGCAAATAAATCTGTATATGAAGCAGAAACAGACTCACATAGAAATCAAATTTATGGTCACCAGTGGGGAGAGGGAGGGAGGGACAAATCAAGAATATGAGATTAACAAATAAAAACTACTGTACATAAAATAGATAAGCAACAGTGATTTACTATACAGCACAGGGAATTATACTCAATATATTAAATAAGCTATAGGAAATGATCTGAAAAAATACATGTATATAGCTGAATTATGTTATATACCTGAAATGAACACAGTGTTTTAAATCAAGTATAATTTTTTTAAAAAAACGTTCTTTTTGAGAGACTGTGTGTCCCATAGTAGGTGTTTTATTTTTCCTATAAATATGTGAGAGAAGTATATTAACAGATTTATTCGGTATTTTAATCATCTGGAACTCTTCAGAGTCTTAAGTCATTAAAATTTGTTCCTTTCAGTGGTTACAGCCTGTGACATGGCAGGTGCAGCCATGTATGAACTGGTGAGAGTGGGCCACAGCGAGTTGGTTGGAGAGATTATCCGATTAGAGGGTGACATGGCTACCATCCAGGTGTATGAAGAAACTTGTATCCTTTTTAGTTCAATTTCTGGCCATTTTCTACAAGTCAGAATTTAAAGATTTTTGGCAAAGGTAAAAGCAATACCAGTGGTATCAGAAACATGGAATACTGGTATTTTGAAGAAACCTGATATATAGAAGTTTATTGAAAGGTACTAGGAATTAGTGCTCTTATTTTGAGAAATCAGTATTATCTCCTGAACTTTCATTGCTGTTAATATTTCAGTGCTGTTACTTAAGCATTACTTCTCTGACTACTTATTTAAGTTTCATTTGGTACAGCCTTTTTGCCATGCTAAAATATATGCTTACAGTACCTCTTCTTTCTATGTCAGTATTGGAGTGCTAATTCTAAACAAAATCACCTGAAATTTTTAATAAAATTAAAAGTATTCATAGCTATGAAATCATCACTAATCAAAAGGACTTTTTTCTATTGTTAGATTTATTTTTTATCTAGTCTTTCACATGGTTTAAAGATTTAAAGTAAACAAATGAGCATGTGTATATTGAGAACCTGTTCCACTTTTATCATCCTGTATTTGGCCAGTTTTCAAAACAGACATGCATTCATGCAACCAGTTTTGTTAGTTCCACTTACTATATATCCTTCTTGTTTTTTATATGGACCATTATAAATGTGTATTTTTATTTCCTTTTTTTCCCCAGAAGATAGTGTATTATAGGTAATGTTCTGCACCTTTTATTCACTTAAAAATATATGTATTGTGGAAGATGGATAGATACATGATGAATACAATGCAGTGTATACGGTAGATCACTGTAATATTCTTTCAACTTTGCTGTAGGCTTGAAATATTTTTATAAACAAATATTGGAAATTATATTTTGGGGATCTTTCATGCAAAATTCATAAAAGTACCTGTCCTTTTTTACAGCTACATAGAATTCCAGCATATGAATATACCATCACTTGTTAATAAATCTCTTAATGATTGTTAAGTCTTAAAATTTTTTTGGTTGTTTCTCAGTCTTAAGAGTTTAAGTTTTTTTTTTTCTAATTCTAATATCCTTTTTAAGGAACTGATATTCCTCATCAATATAGTTGAAGCAATGTATTATAGAGAGACTTTTGATTCTGTTTTTAGCCTGTGGTTCCCAAACTGTGCCCAAGGCACTCTGGGCAGCTGCAGCAAACTCATGTGGTGCTCCGGGATGTTTTAAGGATTTGCAGTAAACACAAGAATATTTGACATCTTCTCAGACACCATGAGAACTAGTAGCTTGAGATAATAAACAGTTTCATTATCTGACTGCACTGCATTCTTGTTGATGATATCATCTTTGTGAAGCCAAGTTTTTGGCAATTGCTAAGCTAAAAACCAAGTGTCATATGAAAATGATGTGGATTGGGTGTTCAGTCTGACTCCTAGGTTTGGAAATTATAGACTACCCAACAGGCACATAAATCCCCTTTGCAGGAATTGAGATTATTTAAAAATGAAATTAAAATGTTCTTTTTTCTTTCAATTTATGTGTCTTTTTGTTTCAGTTTATGTGTCTTTTTCTTTCAAAGTGCTACTCACTTGTTAGACAGATAAACTTATTAAAATGTTTGAGCATGATTATTTAGTAGATGAAAATATTAAATGTATCTTTTGTTGTAGATCTCTATGAAAAAGTTACCGAAACACTCACGATGCTATGGACTATAAGTTTGAGAATCTCAGGTTTAGCTTCTTATATGTCATTTCCTGTTAAGCTGCAGTACTTCTTTATTTTACAGTATCTCCAGTATTTCATAGTGAATTTTCCTCAACCACCTTTCCTAGCTGGTGTGTCTGTTGGAGACCCTGTACTCCGCACTGGTAAACCCCTCTCAGTTGAACTTGGTCCGGGCATTATGGGAGCCATTTTTGATGGTATTCAGAGACCTTTGTCAGATATCAGCAGTCAGACTCAAAGTATTTACATTCCCAGAGGAGTAAATGTGTCTGCTCTTAGCAGAGATGTCAAATGGGATTTCACACCTTGCAAAAACCTACGGGTATGTCTTTGTAATCAAAATTTCTAAAGTTGGTGAAAGAATGTGAAAAGAGTGTTTAGTGAACTATTTTGTACTCTTCGTCAAAATAAAAGTGGACCACAGAAGCATAGTCTACTTTTTTTTTAAAAGCTACACGAGAAGGATTGTAGAACAAATATATTTTATTGATAAGTGAGGCAAATGAGTTAAATAATGGCAAGGGGAGTCTCCTTGATGTTTATTGAATATTAAATGGCTTGATGTTTGTTTGAATGTTAAGCAACAAGTATGTTTGTTCTCTAGGTTGGTAGTCACATCACTGGTGGAGATATTTATGGAATTGTCAATGAGAACTCTCTCATCAAACACAAAATCATGTTGCCTCCACGAAACAGAGGAACTGTCACCTACATTGCTCCACCTGGAAATTACGATACCTCTGTAAGTATCATATAAACTTATAACTCACATGAGTGGCCCCACTGATATAGTTACCCAGTTGTAGAACTCTAAATAGTTATAGAATTCATATTTAATATGTAAGTTTTAAGTTACTTTCATAATTTAAGATATTTTCCTTTAAAACTTGAGCTTGGGACTACAAAAGGCGAAATATATTGTTTCTTTTTGAAGAGAAACAACTAGTACAGTGTTTTCTTACCTTCTTAACTTATGCTGTATTATTTAAACCCCTGATTCTTTTCTCTTTTTTTATTTTGGTCACACGATGGGGTATGGGGGAGCATAGTTCCCCAACCAGAGATGAAACCCGTGCTCCCTGCAGTGGAAACACAAGAGTCTTAACTGCTGGACTGCCAGGGAAGTTCCCAAACCCCTGATTCTTTAGGCATAGAAGAGACTTTGATCTTAATTTTCAGTCTCTATTCACATAATGAATCATGAAATGGATTGTAAGTTCTTACTCTCAGTGAACCATTTAAAACTTAGTCCTTTGCTATTACTGATAATCACATCATATCAAATACAGTAGATATGTGATAATCTTTGTAGTATGAAGAATCTTTTTTGGGAGGGTCATTGTAGCATATAACTTTTTCCCAATGAGATATGATGATAATAATTTTCTGATCATCTCACATCAACAAGATCTGTGCTCTACAGTATAATAGAGAACAGAAGAATTAAGATTGGGGTTCTGGGCAGTCAGCTAACCTTACTCACTAGCTTAGAGAATCACTCAACCTACACGTTAATTCAAATTCAAGATTACAAATTTCTGTAGGTCTTTGGACCTTGAGATCATTTGTGAATAGTTAAAATCATCTCACTGTTTACAAATGTTAAGAGTTACTCATTATCTTTTTGCTTTTGTAAATAATTTAAAATATTTAACTTTATTAAATATTTTAGGATTCTTAATTAGATTAGTATTTTTCATTAAAGCAGTGCAAGAGGATTATAATAAAGTAAAAAAACAAAGAATGGAAAATAAATTATGAAAGTTTTCATTTCTTCCCTCCCTCAGTTCCAGGAATATCTTTTGTATCCTTCAGGAATTTTTCCTGTGTATATTCATGTAATTTATTTAATTGTTTCTCTATTACTTGAAATACTTCTTTCCCAAAAATTTATGAACTTTTTTTTAATCATTAAAATAGTAATAAGTGTACCTGGTTTAAAAAAAGAAATCAGAACGGTATATATTTATAATAAAAGATGTAAATCTCCCTCCCTACTTCCACATACCACCTCTCTAATCCCCCCTAGAAGTCTGGCATTACTTTTCTTTAGAGGAAGAAATGTTCATAGTATTCTGAAAATCCCACTGTATTTTTGTAGGATGTTGTGTTGGAGCTTGAATTTGAAGGTATAAAGGAGAAGTTCAGCATGGTCCAAGTATGGCCTGTACGTCAGGTTCGGCCTGTCACTGAGAAGTTGCCAGCTAATCATCCTCTGTTGACTGGCCAGAGAGTCCTTGATGCCCTTTTTCCGTGAGTTTGAACTGTGTCCCATAGTTTTCCCTCAGATTTTTATATGTGCTTACTATTTCACTTTATAGATAAGGTTTTATGTGCTAATCCTATAATACGTTTTATCTAGAGAAACATGTTTTATGTTTTCGCCAGTGCTTATTTAGAGAGTCAGACCATTGAAGATAATTTTTCACAGTTGCAAAAGGAAAGCATTATTTCTAAAACTTTCTGAAATTTTCTTGTTATCCTATAATTAGTAGATTGATGTCACTTTAATTGATGATTTCTAAAATCACGTGGGTTCTCTGTGCTATCCAGCAATCTTTCTTAACTTTATAGTCTGCTCTTTGCCATTTTCTTCAATTGCATAAAAACCTTTCTCTTTAAGGTTTTGGCATAAGCATACTATCCTTTACTTTTAACAAATAACTTGCCATCTTTTAATTTGCAGAAAAGACTGAAGCAGTGATATTAACTCTTTTAACTTCTGATCACCTGTATGTCTCCCTTCAGCTCTCTTACCTTTAAACCTACTCTGTGTTGTTCTGTTACTCTCTTATAAGATCTTCAGTACTCATTAAAAAGAATACATTTGAATCAGTTCTAATGAGGTGGATGAAACTGGAGCCCACTATACAGAGTGAAGTAAGCCAGAAAGATAAAGACCAATACAGTATACTAACGCATATATATGGAATTTAAAAAGATGTAATGATAACCCTATATGCAAGACAGAAAAAGAGACACAGATGTGTAGAACAGACTTTGGGACTCTGTGGGAGAAGGCGAGGGTAGGATGTTCTGAGAGAATAGCATTGAAACAAGTATACTATCAAGTGTGAAACAGATCACCAGCCCAGGTTGGATGCATGAGACAAGTGCTCAGGGCTGGTGCACTGGGAAGACCCAGAGGGATGGGATGGGGAGTGAGGTGGGAGTGGGGATCAGGATGGTGAACACATGTAAATCCATGGCTGATTCATGTCAATGTATGACAAAAACCACTACAATATTGTAAAGTAATTAGCCTCCAACTAATAAAAATAAATGGAAAAAAAATAAAAGATCTTTAGTACTTTGACTCTTCTTATTTAGTCAGTACCTCCTGTTTCTATATCCTTTAGAATCCAGTTTAAATTTAATAGTATATCATTTCTATGAATATTTGTCAGTATATTAAATTTTCTTGTTTCTCTGTCTTCCATCATACCCGCCTGGTAAGGTATCAACTGTGAATCAGTCTGGCTATCTCCTTCTCCCAAATCTACACTCAGGCTGCTGAGAAAAATAAATAGTAAGTGCAAGTTGGTATCTCAGCACTGTGGCATAATCCTTCTGCAGTTCCCTAATTGTCATTCTTCTGCTCTCCTCAGTGACTATTTCAAACTCTCTACCTGCCTCAGATCTTCAGCTCTTCTTTCTCCTTCATTCTCACCAAATGGTCATCTCAGATCCTTCACACAGAAATGAGGGGCCATCAGATTTGGAATTCTTTCAGTTAACACATGTTCCCATTTATCCTTTATTCTTCTTCCTTTTTCTGGTGTTTACCCTACCTCATATCTCCTCAGAGACCTTCTATTAGGTGATCTTCCTTTCTTCTCCAATCTAATGAAAAGACATCTGCCTTCTACCCTTCTCTTTCTGCCTTCCACTACTTTTCTCCTTATCTTCACAGCCAAACTTCTTGAAAAAAAGTTGTCCCCACTTATCCCACTTTAATTCACTGTACCGCTATGGCCATGGTTCCATTCCTCAGTGAAACTACTCTCACTAACATCGTTAGTCACTCCCATACTGATAATTCAATAAATAAGTTAGTATTTTCCTAATTGCTACAACTTTTGATGTTGGATATTGCTTTCTACTCCTACCTCCTTGAAATACCCATTTTCTTTGCTCTTCCATTTACCTTCTTCTACAGGAAGCTATTGCTTATTCTCCATTGCAGTTCCTTCTCCTTAATTTTGCTATTTCTTAGAGTTTTTCTCCTTTCTTTCCTTATTATACATCTTACCCTCTGTGAATGACTTCATCCACCCTCAAGACTTAAATGTTCATCTATATATGTTGATTTCTAAACCTATATCTTCATCCCAGATCTCTTCTGAGTTCCAGGTTCATATATCCACTTTGGATTATACCTCTCCTTTTGAATATCTTACAGGTACCCTAGAGTCAGTGTTTTAAAACTAATATCATCATCTTAATCACCAACCCATTTCTTGAAACTTTGCTGCCTCTCAGCAAGTGTCATTACTGTACATCCAGTGAATCCCTCTTCTAAAATCTGTGACTTCTCTCAAGGATTGTTTTTACCACATCTCATTAATGAACTAGTGCTGTTATTCTGTTCCCTCAATATTTTTTTATCTGCATCTGTCATCCCTGCTCCATGACTGTAATTAAGGATCTTACCCTAATTCCTGCAATAATCACATTTAATCATACTTCACATCTTCAGTTTTGCCTTCTTTCTGAGTGGTTGTCCATATTACATAGTGATCCAACTAAAACACATATTTGATCCTGCACTGTTTTGCTTGAAGTGCTCTTTATTGCTCTCAAGACAAACACACAATCCTTAACCCCATACAAAGCCACCTGTGACCTGGCTCCTGCTTACCTTCCAGTATTGTCTCAGCCACTTGCTGTCCAACTGCTTCCTTACAGACCATGCTCCAGGCTTCCCAGTGGGCTTTTAAATCCTCAAGCAGGGCTCCCTCCCTCTTGGCCCCGGACTTTTGCTTATGCTGTTCCCTCTGCATGGCATGTTATTTCCCTACATATGGCTGATTTCTATTTCCTTTCAGGTCTTAGCTTCTTTCAGAAAGAATTTCCTAACTCCACTCCAGACCAGTGTCAGACTTTGTACCCCTTCTGTGTACTCCCACAAACCTTGAATGGTCTCTGTGATAGCACTTTTCACATTAGATTGTTGAACTTCTAACATGGGACACACCCAGCCCTGCCTTCCCACCCTGACTTAAAAATGATTTGAAAGAAGTATGCAAAGCCATAGGATGAATGGCCTTGTCCTTCCTAGTTTATCAGAGTCACTGAAAGGTTTCAATGGGAAAACGTTTTAATGCATACTAGTTTCATATGAGAAAAGTATGTTATCCTTATTAAGGATGCAGTGTTTGTGTCTTAAGTTGTCATAACTGTCTAAGTTGGTCATAACTTTCCTTCAAGGAGTAAGCGTCTTTTAATTTCATTGCTGCAATCACCATCTGCAGTGATTGAGCCCATCTTTGCATGAAAGAAAATTCTTATTTTTTACCTCAGAGGACAACTTTCAAAAGTGTTTATATTTTTCTTTTAGCTTTAATTCTTATTTTGTCCTTTCATAAACTGATTTATTTAAGCATTCAGAGTATCTTTACTACTATTTTATTTATCTTATTTTCATATTCCTCTTCTCCAGGTACCTTATGGAACATACTTTCACTTTCCAGCTATTACAGATGATTAATTATTATAAAAAACATATCCTACTTTAGGTGCAAATAGGGGAGCAATTGTTATATCTCTGTCAGTACCTCATTCTTTCTAAGTGTATGTACAGATACAGATGACAATATTTTAAAGTGCTTTCTTTAACTTGTATCTTTAACTGTGTCACTTTTGTTGTTGTTCAGTTGCTAAGTTGTGATTGACTCTTTGCGACCCCACAGATCATAGCCTGCCAGGCTCCTCTGTCTGTGGGATTATTTACCATTGAACCACCAGGATAGCCCCTGTGTCTCTAACCTACTTTTTTTATTGGTGTATGTTAGTGAGTAAAGTAATCCTTACTTGTTTGCTTTGTGTAGATGTGTACAGGGAGGAACTACTGCAATCCCTGGGGCTTTTGGCTGTGGGAAGACAGTGATATCACAGTCTCTATCCAAGTATTCCAACAGTGATGTGATCATCTACGTAGGATGTGGTGAGAGAGGAAACGAGATGTCTGAAGTCCTTCGGGACTTCCCAGAGGTCTGTATCTATAAAGCTTCCAATACTAGTCTAGATACTAGTCTAATCAACTAATACTAATCAACTTTCATTGGCAATTAATAAAACTTTGTTTTGGATCTGGATCAATGCTCTTATTCATCAAACATCTTTTAAGGAATTTTCTAATTATATTTATGATTCAATTTGTATACCGAAGGAAGAGAATTGGAATTTTTCAGTCAAAACACTTGAAAGTTTCTTTTTGTGGTCTGGTGATTTTCAGTTATTGGGAGAAAGATAAAATAGGCAAAATATTTATTGGTGTGAATGTCTCATAGACTTCGTATGGTCTACTAGGTTACTGTAATAATAACATTCCTACTTCCATAAAATAATGGACTTTTTTTATGAAGTGGAAATACTGACTGTTTTCTTTACAGCACAGTGGGATAGAGGAAATAGGTTTGAATGATGGGAAATACTTCTTTGGGAACACAGATTATAAGAAGGATTAAATATAAACAAGTTGTGAAAAAGAAACTGAAAATTTCTATTTCAAGGATAAGAAAGCTGTGGTACATATACACAATGGAATATTACTCAACCATTAAAAAGAATACATTTGAATCAGTTCTAAGGAAATGGATGAAACTGGAGCCTATTATATAGAGTGAAGTAAGCCAGAAAGAAAAACACCAATACAGTATACTAATGCATATATATGGAATTTAGAAAGATGGTAACGATAACCCTGTATGTGAGACAGCAAGAGAGACACAGATGTATTGAACAGTCTTTTGGACTCTGGAAGAGGGCAAGGGTGGGATGATATGGGAGAATGGCATTGAAACATGTAAATTATCATATGTGAAACGAATCACCAGTCCAGGTTCAGTGCATGATACAGGATGCTCAGGGCTGGTACACTGGGATGACCCAGAGGGATGGGATGGGGAGAGAGGTGGGAAGGGGGTTCAGGATGGGGAACACATGTACACCCATGGCGGATTCAAGTCAAAGTATGGCAAAACCAATACAATGTTGTAAAGTAAAATAAATAACTAATTTTTTAAAAAAGTTCTATTTCAAAACTTGGGGGAATCACTAATAGATTGTTTGTCTCTAGCTCACGATGGAAGTCGATGGTAAGGTAGAGTCAATTATGAAGAGAACAGCATTGGTAGCCAATACATCCAATATGCCTGTGGCTGCTAGAGAAGCCTCTATTTATACTGGTGAGTATATGAATTGGAATGAAAGAGATTAACATGTGTTCTTTAGTTTAAAGCTAGTACCAAAATTTTTTTTTTCCAAAGAGCTTTTATTCTAAAGTATCTTCATACATATAACCATATTCCTAGAACCTTTTTTTTGTTGTCTTTTTTTTTTTTAATATTGGCCTTCCCAGATGGCTCAGTGATTAAGAAGCCACCTGCCAAGCAGGAGACTCGGGTTCAATCCCTGGATCAGGCAGATTCCCTGGAGAAGGAAATGGCAATCCACTCCAATATTCTTGCCCAGGAAATCCCGTGGACAGACATAGAGTCAGATACGACTTAGTGATTAAACCACCACCACCACATTGCACTCATTATTATATCTTAAGACTCTGTCCATATAAGACATTAATGTGTGTGCGCGCACATGCACACATGCACTCAGTCATATCCTACTCTGTGATCCCATGGAATGTAGCCCACTAGGCTCCTCTGTCCGTGAAATTTTCTAGGCAAGAATGCTGGAGTGAGTTGCCATATCCTACTTCAGGGGATCTTTCTGACCCAGGGATCAAACCCATGGTCTCTTGCATTTCCTGCAGTGGCAGATGGATTCTTTACCACCTTGCTACCTGGGAAGCTCCATAAGGCATTAATAGAACTGCTTTAATCTTTTTAATGACTTTAAAATGAAGTATCTTCTATTTCTGGGTTTTGGGGTTTTTTTGTTTTTTTTTTCATGTTTTATCATTGCTCTGTCTCTGAATATATCTGCATCTCTATAACTTGAATTTTCAGCTTTGAATTATAATACTTTGATTATGTTTATGTATTACCTTCCATCTTTGCTCCCATTTTCATCCCAGCTTTTGGTATTTGGAATTCTACATATTCAAGAGTTATAATATTCACATTCTGTTCTGTATCCATAGATACAATGTTTGTATTAGCTTTAGACCTAGTAAAATGGAGTCAGTTTCCACTGGCAGCACAGTCCCTTGACTGTAATTTTTCCATTTGTTTTACAAATGGACAAATTTTGATTTTTGGAAGTTTTTCCAAGACAGGCTCATGGAAACTATATTCTCTGAATTCTTCTTTGTAAGTTTGGATTTTTTCTACTGCCTTATGATTTTAACAGTAATTTGACAGAATATGAAATTTTTCTATCAGCATTTCTTGTGCTGAGGAGAAATCTGACGCTGGCCTACTTTTTTTCCTTTTATAGGTGATTTTTCTTTCTACCCAAAGGAATGCTTCTTTAACTTTGAAGTGTTATAATTGTTTTTCAAGTGTTATAATTTTATTGGAATATATCCCACTATTGATAGTTCTGTTAATCTTTTCCTGAGGCATAGTATACCTTTACAGTCTGTGACTATGTCTTTTACTTTGGAAAAATTTTGAGAATTGTTCCTGAAAATTTTTCTCTTCCATTATGGTTATCTTCAAGTGGAACATATTGCATCTCCTTTATCTGTTTACACATGCATTATTTCCTAATTCTTTTTATTTAGCCGTTTGTTCGTTTTTTCACAGGATAATCAGTGTTTATTCTTTGTATTCCTTCTGATGAAACTTTTATGTTGTTCTAGTTCTTTGTCGAGTTCTGCTGGCTCATGAAACAACCTTTTTATCTTCCTGTATATTCCTTGAGATTTTTATTTTGTGGTAGGATGCAGTATAAAGATTTTCTTTAATTAATTGTGATCTCAGTTCTCATTTGTTCCTTGGCAGGTTCATTGTTGTACTGTGCTCTTCTTTTTTTTCTTCTTTTATTTTTGTTTAGTTCATATGCTGATGTTTATTGTTACTATCACTTATCTTTGCAGGAGATGGGAGGGGATGGTTGTTACTATGATTCAAAGTAGCAGGACTTCTTCCTGGTAATCAGTGAAGTTTGTTACAGCATAAAATTATATAATTTATTTTACTTTTTCTTCTGTCCTACCAGCAAAATCCACAGCGACAAGGCCACTTACAATGAATTCTTTCTCTTCTACCCTGCTTCATTCACTTTTTTACTTACTGTAAAGGGGTATCTTTCTGAATTTTATTTGTCCCCACCCCGCTACTTCCCCTTGAGGCCAGACTGGGTCCATAGAACCCCTGCTGCTAGCCCTGTACCCCTTTTACTGTGTTCTAGACAAAGAATTCTTGGTTTTGCTCCTCAGGATGTACTTTCTAGTTTGCAGAATCATAGTCTGAGGCTGTGTAGCCTCAGGTGAATTCTTGGTGTCTCGTTTTTTTGTTGTTGTTTGCTTTGTTTTAATCTCTTTTAGTTAGCTTTCCTCATTATTTTGTTTTGAAGCTAAACATGGCCCCTGGTTTTTGACAGTGGAGTTTGTGTTTCTGTATTTCTTGTTTGGTGGTCACTCTTCTGAGGAGGAGAAAGTGACATAATCACCTACTGTTTTAAGACAAGAAGTCTACCTCCTTCTTTTAACTGACTACACAGATTCCCTTTGTATGGATATATCACAATCTATTTAACCGGCATTCCTTTGGGTGGACACTTGGATTATTGATAGGTTTTTTGCTCTCACAAGCATCACACCATAAAACATCCTTATGCATGTTGTTTACACTGTTACATCATATGTTTTATGTGCATGTTTCTTTGTATTTTTGTCAGGTTAAGTTCTTAGAAGTAAAATTGCTGAGAAATATAACTGTTAATGTAGATTTTAGATTCTAATAGCTCTTCACAAGGATTAACAGTGGACACAAATTCTATTTCTTCACATACTCCCCAATGCTCATTTTTCCAGTAGTTTTTTATGATGATCATTATACAGAAAAGTTAAAAGAATACTGCAGTGAGTACCTGTGTACCCCACACCTAGATTTGACAGTTAACATTTTACTCCCTCTGCTTTACTAGATGACTCTTGGTTCTGTATTCCTTACAGGGAGCTAGCATTTTTCCTGAATCTGTTAACCATTTGAAAATTGCCTTCTGTCCATTTTTGCATTGGTTAGTAGTTTATCATACTGATTGGTAAAGTTCTTTGAAATGAGTCTTTGATCTTTTGTGAGTAGCAGATATTTTCCTAGTTTGTTCATCTTTTGATTTTGTCTGATTTGTAGGCACTAATATCTTTAGGTTTATGAAAGTGGTCTGTCAGACTTCTTTGAGGTTTACTCTTGTGTATCTGTCTCTTTTGTCAAGTCTTTTTAATATATATATAGATACACAAGCATTAGTGAATGTCATCATGGAGATATAGCATGCTTGTACCATCAGATTGAAATATGTGATACTGTGTTTTTTAAGCCTTAATAATGATAACTACTTAAAGACTTTGTTCCTTGGACCATATTTTGGAAGCCTTGGAAGTTAGTATTTTTTATTCTGACAGATGTATTATGATAAATAGTAAGTTCTGAATTTTCCAGCAACTATTTTATTTATATAACCCTTTGTTTCTTAACGGGTAAAATAAAGGAATTAAGGCAGTAGATTTTGGAATTGTTATCATGTAGCAACTAATATAAAATTCTAATATCTTACAGTTGTATAGTACTTTGTATTTTTCAGAGGGCATTTATAGATACCATATCATCTGATGTGTACAGCTAGATGGGGTGAGAATTATTCCATTTTAACAAATGAAGAAACTGGGAAGTGAGGTTACTTTGCTAACATTAATGACAGTATGGGAACTAGAACCCAGGACTGCTTTCTGTATACTCAGCTTTTTCTGAGTGGTTTACTGAATGTGATTTTACAGGAGAGGACCCAGTCTATGTAGAAGAATGATCTAGATAATGAGTATTATTTTTCACATTAACAACATTTACTACTTTTGAAAAATAACCAAACAGCTAATTAATTGAGGGTATTTTTGGTGCATATGTGTGTGAGATACATAGGAAAAAATGCATTGTAAATTAATTTCAGACTTAATTATCTGAACGAAGAATAGGAGAAAAGTCTTTTCCTACTTTTAAAAATGTTTATGAGGGTAGACTAGGCTATGAAAAACCCAAACATAATTGTTGAATATAACAGATGTTTATTTCAGATGATGAGGGCATTCTCCTTTATTCTGTCATTTTGGGGCTGGGACCCAGGCTAAAAAGAGCTCTTTCATTTTAACACATACCTTCCATAGATCCTGGGAGTTCTCACCCTCTCAGTAAGCCAGAAAGAAGAAGTAGCATGGAAGGATGTGTGTCTTGCCTTCTGAAGAAACACTTGACTCTACATTCCATTAGATAAGGGTCAGTTACTTGCCAAATCTAAATGCACAGGAGGCTAGATAGTATGTTCAACTGTGTACCCAAAAGAACCACAAACTATGATGAATAGCTAGCAGTCTTAACTTAGGAACTTACCGCTTTAAAGTTTTCTTAAGGGTAAAAAGTCAGGATTATATATTACAGAATTATAATTTATAATATTCTTCCCAATGTAGGAATCACACTGTCAGAATATTTCCGTGACATGGGCTATCATGTCAGTATGATGGCTGACTCCACCTCTCGATGGGCTGAGGCTCTTAGAGAAATCTCTGGTCGTTTAGCTGAAATGCCTGCAGGTAAATCTTTATATTGCTTATTGTATAAGCAAGACTGATAGGATTTGGGGGTTGGCTTAGAACTTCTCTTTTAAAATTTTCTTTTCATTTTTCAGATAGTGGATATCCTGCATATCTTGGTGCCCGTTTGGCCTCTTTCTATGAGCGAGCCGGCAGAGTGAAGTGTCTTGGAAATCCTGAGAGAGAAGGGAGTGTCAGCATTGTAGGAGCGTAAGCACCCAAACTATTTACTTATCATAAGAAAAAGTTACTTTATTTTAAAGAGATAATATTTAGCCCCGCTGAGGGAAGTGCTTCTTAACCAAGGTTGCACTGGTGTCACCCAAAGGGCTCTTTAGAATGCACATGTTTAGGTCATCTCTGCTTGTGCTGGTTTCATAGGTTTGACTTATCTAGCAACAATTTAGAAAATTATAAACATGTTAAGGTAAGATCATATCACAATAAAAACAATATGAAGATTCACTATCCCCACATATAGCCATACCTTATTCTCAGAGCTTTTCCTTCCTTCTTGCTTCATCTGTTTTAATTAGAAAAATGAAACAGATTGTGATTAAATGTCTGTCTCATTTCTCAAACTAGAAGGTTTTCATTAGTTGTCACTCTTAACTTTCAACTTAGTACTGGTTTTTATTCAAGGTTTTTATATAGGATTTTCTTCCCAAAGGTTGTATTTCTTAAGTTATTTACATTAAAATTGACTTTAAAGAAGTACTTTTGTTTTATTCATTTATTTTTTGAAATTGCTTTTATATACAAGTTATTTTCCAAGCATTTCTAATGACTTTTTCCTGTTTTAGAGTTTCTCCACCTGGTGGTGACTTTTCTGATCCAGTTACATCTGCTACTCTTGGTATTGTTCAGGTATGTATTTTCCTAGTGTAGTCAACTTCTGAGCCCCGCTCCATCCCCATGCTGTCCTAATGTCGTCCTCATCATTGTGAAGCATTTAATTTAGTCACTGAAAAGCAGGCAAGGGTCAAGTTAGTTTTAGCAACATTCTTACTACTGAAAGTCTTTGATGCCCTATGTTCTTAGCTCTTTACCTAGAATTTATAATAGATTTAATGTCTAAAGTAGTAATACATCCAAGTAGCAAACTTTTATTAGTGTTAGAGTAATACTGCACTCTTAACTTTTGAGTTAGAGCAACCCTAGGAATAGAAACAAATGAGCCCAAAAGGGCATAATAGCAAAATCGCAGAGAAGTTTTTCTCCTCGTCGTTTGGTCCAAGGCAGGTGATCCTGTCAGAGGGTGACTCTTTTCCATTCAATATTAATTCACACCAGCACTTCACCTTGGCTCCACTTGCCTGGTAATGGTCTGCGTTTGGCTGGTACAGGACGACTGGAGGAGGCTCACCTGCGTTTTGAACTTTGGACTCAGACCTGATTACTCCACTCATTCTGTTAGCCACACCCAGACGAAAGCAAAGCTGGAAAGTGTAGTTTCTGCCTAGGCAGCTGCTTCCCAGTGACAAGACATGAATTCTGGTGCATAGCTAGCCAACTTGGCCATTAAAAGTAAGCCTAAATGAAAGACATATATAAATCAGGGCTATAATTGTTTTTGATCTTGATATATTTATAGCACATGTATTATTTATATGGGAAAAATACAATACCTGCCTATGTTTCTGTCAATATCAGGTAAAAGGAAGTGGCAGAGGCTAAATTTACAACTTTCAAGGTGTTTAACATTTGCTAAAATTTTGAATTTTAAATAACAGGGAAGTGAGGAGCAAAATTAGGAATGCCTAGAATATATGTGAATGTTTGGCCTCAGAAAATTGACTCTCATGGTGGAGAGTTCTGACGAAATGTGTTCCACTGGAGAAGGGAATGGCAAACCACTTCAGTATTCTTGCCCTGAGAACCGCATGAACAGTATGAAAAGGCAAAAAGATAGGACACTGCAAGATGAATACCCCAGGTGGGTAGATGTCCAATATGCCACTGTAGATCAGTGGAGAAATAACTCCAGAAAGAATGAAGAGGAGCCAAAGCAAAAACAACACCCAGTTGTGGATGTGACTGGTGATGGAAGTAAAGTCCGATGCTGTAAAGAGTAATATTGCATAGGAACCTGAAATGTTAGGTCCATGAATCAAGGCAAATTGGAAGTGCTCAAACAGGAGATGGTAAAAGTGAATGTCGACATTTAGGAATCAGCAAACTAAAATGGACTGGAATGGGTGAATTTAACTCAAATGACCATTGTATCTACTCCTGTGGGCAAGAATCCATTAGAAGAAATGGAGTAGCCATCATAGTCAACAAAAGAGTCCAAAATGCAGTACTTGATGCAGTCTCAAAAACGACAGAATGATCTCTGTTCTTTTCCAAGGCAAACTATTCAGTATCACAGTAATCCAAGTCTATGCCCCTACCAGTAATGCTGAAAAAGCTGAAACCTTCTAGAACTTCTAGAACTAACACCCAAAAAAGATGCCCTTCTCATTATAGGGGACTGGAATGCAAATTAGGAAGTCAAGAAATACCTGGAGTAACAGGCAAATTTGGCCTTGGAGTACAGATTGAAGCAGGGCAAAGGCGAACAGAGTTTTGTCAAGAGAATGCACTGTCATAGCAAACACCCTCTTCCAACAACACAAGAGAAGACTCTACACAGATGGTCAATACTGAAATCAGATTGATTATATTCTTTGCAGCCAAAGATGGAGAAGCTCTAGACAGTCAGCAAAAACAGGACCGAGCGTTTACTGTGGCTCAGATCATTAGCGCCTTATTGCCAAATTCAGACTTAAATTGAAGAAAGTAGGGAAAAGCACTAGACTATTCCGGTATGACTTAAATCCTTTACGATTATACAGTGGAAGTGACAAATAGATTCAAGGGATTAGATCTGATAGAGTGCCTGAAGAACTATGGATGGAGGTTCATGACATTGTACAGGAGACAGGAATCAAGACCATCCCCAAGAAAAATAAATGCAAAAGAGCAGAATGGTTGTCCGAGGAGGCCTTAAAATAGCTGTGAAAAGAAGTGAAAAGCAAAGGAGAAAAGGAAAGATATACCCATTTGAATGCAGAGTTCCAGAGTCAGCAAGGAGAGATAAGAAAGCCTTCCTCAGTGATCAATGTAAAGAAATAGAGGAAAACAACAGAATGGGAAAGACTAGAGATCTCGTCAAGAAAATTCGAGATACCAAAAAAAGATTTCATGCAAAGATGGGTTTGATAAAGGACAGAAATGGTATACACCTAACAGAAGCAGAAGATATTAAGAAGAGGTGACAAGAATACACAGAAGTTGAACGGTTCTATGAAGACCTACAAGACCTTTTAGAACTAACACCCAAAAAAGATGTCCTTTTCATTATAGGGGACTGGAATGCAAAAAGTAGGAAGTGAAGAAACACCTGGAGTAACAGGCAAATTTGGCCTTGGAGTACGGAATGAAGAAGGGCAAAGGCGGATAGAGTTTTGCCAAGAGAATGCACTGGTGGTCATGGCAAACACCCTCTTCCAACAACACAAGAGAAGACTCTACACATGGACATCACTGGATGGTCAACACCGAAATCAGATTGATTATATTCTTTGTAGCCAAAGATGGAGAAGCTCTGTACAGTCAGCAAAAACAAGACCGGGAGCTGACTGTGGCTCAGATCATGAACTCCTTACTGCCAAATTCAGACTTAAACTGAAGAAAGTAGGGAAACCCACTAGACTCTTCAGGTATGACCTAAATCAAATCCCTTATGAATATACAGTGGAAGTGAGAAATAGATTTAAGGGACTAGATCTGATAGACAGAGAGCCTGATGAACTATGGACAGAGGTTCGTGACATTGTACAGGAGACGGGGATCAAGACCATCCCCATGGAAAAGAAATGCAAAAAGGCAGAATGGTTGTCTGAGGAGGCCTTACAAATAGCTGTGAAAAGAGAAGCAAAAGGCAAAAGAGAAAAGGAAAGATATGCCCATCTAAATGGAGAATTCCAAAGAATAGCCAGGAGAGATAAGAAAGCCTTCCTCAAGCAACCTAGATGCACATCAGCAGAAGAATGGATAAGGAAGCTGTGGTACATATACACCATGGAATATTACTCAGCCATTAAAAAGAATTCATTTGAATCAGTTCTAATGAGATGGATGAAACTGGAGCCCATTATACAGAGTGAAGTAAGCCAGAAAGATAAAGACCATTACAGTATACTAACACATATATATGGAATTTAGAAAGATGGTAACGATAACCCTATATGCAAAACAGAAAAAGAGACTCCGATGTATAGAACAGACTTTTGGACTCTGTGGGAGAAGGCGAGGGTGGGATGTTTCAAGAGAACAGCATCGAAACATGTATATTATCTAGAGTGAAACAGATCACCAGCCCAGGTTGGAGGCATGAGACAAGTGCTCGAACCTGGTGCACTGGGAAGACCCAGAGGGATCGGGTGGAGAGGGAGGTGGGAGGGGGGATCGGGCTGGGGAACACATGTAAATCCATGGCTGATTCATTTCAATGTATGACAAAACCCACTACAATATTGTAAAGTAATTAGCCTCCAACTAATAAAATAAATAAATAAATAAAAGCACACACACAAAAAGCAGTGGTACATGTAGACAATGGAATATTATCCAGCCATAAAAAGGAATGTATTTGAGTCCTTTTAATGAGCTGAATGAACCTAGAACCTATTATACAGAGTGAAGTAAGTCAGAAAGAGAAAGATAATATTGTATTCTAACACATATATATGGAATCTAGAAATCTGGTACTGAAGAATTTATTTGCAGGACAGCAATGGAGAAACATATATACAGAAAAGACTTATGGACATGGGGGAAGGGGAGGAGAGAGTGAGATGTGAGGAAAGAGTAACATGGAAATTTACATTAGCATATGTAAAATAGATAGCCAAAGGGAATTTCCTGTATGGTTCAGGACACTCAAACAGGGGCTCTGTATCAACCTAGAGGGGTGGGATGGGGAGGGAGATGGGAGGGAGGTTCAAAAGGGAGGGGACATATGTATACCTATGGCTGATTCATGTTGAGGCTTGACAGAAAACAGCAAAATTCTGGAAAGCATTTATCCTTCAATAAAATATAAATTAAAAAAAGCCTTCCTCAGTGATCAATGCAAAGAAATAGAGGAAAACATTAAATGGGAAAGAATAGAGATCTCTTCAAGAAAATTAAGACATACCAAGGGAACAATAAAGGACAGAAATGCTGTGGGCCTAACAGAAGCAGAAGATACTAAGAAGGGGTGGCAAGAATACACAGAAGAACTGTACAAAAAAAGATTTTCTCAACCCAGATAATCACAATGGTATGATCACTCACCTAGAGCCAGACATCATAGAATTCAAAGTCAAGTGGGCCTTAGGAAGCATCACTACGAACAAAGCTAGAGGAGGTGATGGAATTCCAGTTGAGCTATTTCAAATCCAAAAGATGATGCTGTGAAAGTGCTGCACTCAATATGCTGGCAAATTTGGGAAACTCGGCAGTGGCCACAGGACTGGAAAAGGTCAGTTTTCATTCCAATCCCGAAGAAAGGCAATGCCAAAGAATGTTTAAACTGTTGCACAGTTGCAGTCATCTCACACGCTAGTAAAGTAATGCTCAAAATTCTCCAAGCCAAGCTTCAGCAATATGTGAACTGTGAACTTACCGATGTTCAAGCTGGATTTAGAAAAGGCAGAGGAATCAGAGATCAAATTGCCAACATCCGTTGGATCATCAATAAAGCAGGAAAGTTCCAGAAAAATATCTATTTCTGCTTTATTGACTATGCCAAAGCCTTTGACTATGTGGATCACGACAAACTGGAAAATTGTGAAAGAAATGGGAAAATTCTGAAAGAGATGGGAATACCAGACCACTGACCTGCCTTTTGAGAAATCTGTATGCAGGTAGGAAACAACAGTTAAAACTGGACGTGGAGCAACAGACTGGTTACAAATCGGAAAAGTAGTACGTCAAGACTGTATATTCTCATGCTGCTTTTTGAAGTTATATGCAGAGTACATCATGAGAGACCCTGGGCTGGGTGAAACACAAGCTAGAATCAAGATTCCTGGGAGAAATATCAAAAACCTCAGATAGGCAGATGATACCACCCTTATGGCAGAAAGCGAAGAACTAAAGAGCCTCTTGATGAAAGTGAAACAGGAGAGTGAAAAAGTTGGCTTAAAATCAACGTTCAGAAAACTAAGATTGTGACTTCTGATCCCATTACTTTATAGCAAATAGTGGGGAAACATTGAGAGGCTTTTTTTTTTTTTTTTTTGAGTTTGGAGACACAGCAGACTGACTGTAGCCATGAAGTCGCTTACTTCTTAGAAGAAGAACTGTGAACAACCTAGCATAGTAAAAAGCAGAGATACTACTTTGCCAACAAAGGTCTGTCTAGTCAAAGATACGGTTTTTCCAGTAGTTATGTGTGGATGTGAGAGTTGGACTGTAAAGAAAGCTTACTGCTGAAGAATTGATGCTTTTGAACTGTGGTGTTGGAGAAGACTCTTGGGAGTCCCTTGGACTGGAAGGAGATCCAACCAGTCCATCCTAAAGGAAATCAGTCCTGAATATTCATTGGAAGGACTGATGCTGAAGCTGAAACTCCAATACTTTGGCCAGCTGAAGCAAAGAACTGACTCATTAAAAAAAAAAGAAGTGATTCATTTTTGAAAAAACCCTGATGCTGGGAAAGATGGAAGGCAGGAGAAGGGGACAACAGAGAATAAAATGGTTGAATGGCATCACCGACCCAGTGGACATGAGTTTGAGTAAGTTCCAGGAGTTTGTGATGGACAGGGAGGCCTGGCGTGCTGCAATCCATGGAGTCGAAAAGAGTCAGACATGACTGAGTGAACTGAACTGAACTGAACTGAAAATGACTGTCAGACCTCTGAGGACTGGCTCTTAATGATTGGCAACTGAATTTATTCAGACACTTGGAGGTTTTAATTTTTAAAGTGAAGTGTCTATCATAATTAGCATTTTCTGGTTCATATGTTTATATTGCACCATACCAGTTTTCAAAGGAGTCAGTATCTTTTGCTATCAGATTTGATGTTGTTAAGGAAATCCAGATAAAGTTTGATTCATAGAAGAGCCAACTTATTGGAAAAGACCCTGATGCTGGGAAAGATTGAGGGTAGGAAGAGAAGGGAGCAACAGAGATGGTTGGATGGCATCAGTGACTCAATGGACATGAGTTTGAGCAAACTTCAGGAGATGGTGAAGGACAGAAAAGCCCAGTGTGCTGCAGTCCACGGGATTGCAGAGTCAGACACAGCTTAGTGACTAAACAACAACAATCCATATTGAAACTAAAAGAAATATTTTTCTGTTTGGAAGTTTTATTCTATTTCATTTATATTTGGTATATACTAAAAAGATAAATAATTTGACCGAAACAGTATAGAATTCCATAGTTAGGACAAACAAATATGCTTCAATACTTCAAAAGTTTGTTTTTAAGAAAAATCTTTGTGTTTTGTTTTTGGTTTTGTTCTTAAATCAGGTGTTCTGGGGCTTAGATAAGAAACTAGCTCAACGTAAGCATTTTCCTTCTGTCAATTGGCTGATCAGCTACAGCAAGTACATGCGTGCCTTGGATGAGTACTATGACAAACACTTCACAGAGTTCGTTCCTCTGAGGACCAAAGCTAAGGAGATTCTTCAGGAAGAAGAAGACTTGGCAGAAATTGTACAGCTGGTGGGAAAGGTAAGTTGTAAAATCTTGTGGAGAACAGTCTGTGTGTTACACTGGAGCCTTTTTGGGGTTACACTGGGTCTTCATTCTGGTGCATGGGCTTTCCATTGCAGTGGCTTCTCTTGTTGCAGAGCACAGGCTCTAGGCATGCAGGCTTCAGTAGTTATGGCACACAGGCTTAGTTGCTTTGCAGCATGTCAAACCTTCCTGGACCAAGGATCGAACCTGTGTCCCCTGCATTGGCAGGCAGACTCCTGTCCACTGTACCACCAGGGAAGTCCACACTGGAGCTTTTTAAGGACAAACAGAACCTTGGAAAGGCAGATTCTTGCCTGGAAAAATTAGTATTTATTAAATATTTTTTAAACTAAGAAAATTGTAGATTATTCCTTTATTCAGCAAATATTTCAGGGGCATGCTTATATTGTGGAAAATAGAAAGATGATTATTGTTTATAGATTATTATATGTTATTGAATAACAAACCACTTTGACATTTAGTGGCTTAAATAGTGCTTTATTGCTCCTGGTTTTGGGGTTGGTGGTCTTACTTGGGCAGTCTTTCTTGGGTCCCCTCATATAGTTTTTGCTGTCATGGTGGCTGAGACTGTAGTCATCTGAAAGTTTTTTCCCTCACACGTCTGGTGCCTAAGTTAGGATAACTAGAACAGCTAAGGATTGGGTAGGCATTTCTCTTTCTGTATGGTGTTTCAAAAAAACACATCATGGGTCTATTTGCCATGTTCATAGCAGCACTTACAAGCACTAAAAGGTAGAAGCAACAGAGATGTCCTTTCCAACACACGTGTGCATGCACTCACATATGCATACACAATGAAATATTATTCAGCCTTGAAAAGGAAGGAAAATTCTAACACGTGCTACAACGTGGTGAACCTTGAGGGACCATTATGTTAATAAATAAGTAGTCAAATTCATAGAAACAGAAAATAGAGTGGTGGTTACCAGGGGTCCAGAGGACAAAAGAAAAGGAGTTGTTTAATGGGTATAGTTTCAGATTTGTAAGGTGGAGAGTATTGGAAGTCATTTCACAGCAACGTGAACATACTTAACCTACTGAACTAGAAATGGTTAAGGTGGTAGATGTACATTATATCAATAGTTTTTGCAATGAAAACAACACGAGAAAATCAGGAAGCAATTAGGAGGTGAATTTATTAATGATAGGTGATCATGTTTTGATTACTTGGTTTCTGGTTGCTAATTAATTGCAACAATTGGTCCCACATTGTGGCAGTTAATTTCTAAAAATATATTTTTTCCTCTTCTAGGCTTCTCTAGCAGAAACGGATAAAATCACTCTGGAGGTAGCAAAACTTATCAAAGATGATTTCCTTCAACAAAATGGATATACTCCTTATGACAGGTAACCTAGCCTGATTTTCTTTGGATATTCTATCAAGTTTTGAAGAAGGAGCTGCCTACATGCATGTTAACCGCCCACCAGCCTTTTTTCTCATACAGACACACACAGACTCAGTGTATAGGTTTATTTTTTATTTTTATAGCATGCATCTAATGATCCAATATGTTCCCTTATATTGATTTGGCTCATTTTCCAAGTTATCACTTTTTTCACTCATTGTTCAGCCAGCTTAAATTAAATTATGGCTTAGTGTACGGAGCCTGAGGAATCACTGCCTCCTTCAGAAGCTTTTCTCACTACGTGTTGTGACAGCCCATGCCTCTTCTGCTCTTTGCCAAAATAATATACTTTTGTGCCCCATTGCCCATGAGTCCTGTTTTTTTTCTTTCTACTATTGGACATCTCACCAGTCCCTATTACTCCTGCCCAATGCTTTCTGTTTTTTCGTTATTTATCTCTGCTACTACAAGGGCTTTCCTTGTGGCTCAGCTGGTAAAGAATCCACCTGGAATGCAAGAGACCTGGGTTCGGTCCCTGGGTTGGGAAGATCCCCTGGAGAAGGGGAAGACTACCCACTCCAATATTCTGGCTTGGAGAATTCCATGGACAGTACAGCCCATGGTGTCACAAAGAGTCGGACACGACTAAGTGACTTTCACTTTCACTACCATGGCCAAAAAGTGCCCATTTCTTTTAAACTTAGATAATTTGAGCCTTTCATCATAGTCTATAACTTTTCCTCCCTCAGATCATATTTGGCCCCATATAAGACTATAGAAACAAATAGATTAGCAGAATATAGGACAAGCAGGAAATATGACAATATAATCAGTAAGGCAGAAACTCTAGGAACCAGCCACACAAAGATAACTCCACAAGGGAAAATTCTTTGAAAAGAGAGTGTACATGAAATTGTGTATGCAAATAAGTTTAAATGTGTTAGAACGTTTATTAGAATGCATGTGATTCTATCCAAAAGTCTACAAGCAATAAATGCTGGAGAGGGTGTGGAGAAAAAGGAACCCTCTTACACTGTTGGTGGGAATGCAAACTAGTACAGCCTCTATGGAGAACAGTGTGGAGATTCCTTAAAAAACTGGAAACAGAAAATAGATAAGGAAGCTGTGGTACATATACACCATGGAATATTACTCAGCCATTAAAAAGATTTCATTTGAATCAGTTCTAATAAAATGGATGAAACTGGAGCCCATTATACAGAGTGAAGTAAGCCAGAAAGATAAAGAACATTACAGCATACTAACACATGTATATGGGATTTAGAAAGATGGTAATGATACCCTATATGCAAAACAGAAAAAGAGACTCAGATGTACAGAACAGACTTTTGGACTCTGTGGGAGAAGGCGAGGGTGGGATGTTTCGAGAGAACAGCATCGAAACATGTATATTATCTAGAGTGAAACAGATCACCAGCCCAGGTTGGATGCATGAGACAAGTGCTCGGGCCTGGTGCACTGGGAAAACCCAGAGGGAGCGGGTAGAGAGGGAGGTGGGAGGGGGGATCGGTATGGGGAATACATGTAAATCCATGGCTGATTCATATCAATGTATGACAAAACCCACTACAATATTGTAAAGTAGTTAGCCTCCAACTAATAAAAATAAATGAAAAAAAAAAAGAATGCATGTGATTCAAGTTGAATATTAACTTGTGTGCCTTTATTATTAAAAAGTATGTGTAAATGCAAATGGACACTTTTAGTGGAGAAAGGGGCTGCTTATTAGCTCTAGGAAATTACAGTTTCCTGCCTTCCTATTATTTATTCAACCTTAACTAACTATCACAAGGGACTCTTTACAACTTAGTTATTTTCCATTTGGGTTACTGCTTTAACTGCATTGTACACAAACACGCTCTCAGAGAGTCATTAGATTGTAGCAGTACTGTTTTATTGTTCTTCAGATAAAAATTAACATCACTCTTAAATGAAAGAACGCATATGGCTCCATCTCTCTATCCACCCCATATTCCTGAGACATCTCTGTCCAAAAACTCCAGTTAGTGTTTCTGATCTTTTCCACTATTTTTTTTTTCATTCCTTAAGTATCATGCCATAAATATAAGTAGTATGCATATCTAAATAAAGAAACCAGTGCTCTGGTATTTCACAGATGAAATAAAAAGTATGAACTTGCTTTTGATTTTCTGTTTTATTATTTTGACTTTCACTTATCCTAGGTTCTGCCCATTCTACAAGACAGTGGGAATGCTGTCCAACATGATCGCATTTTATGATATGGCCCGCAGAGCTGTTGAAACCACTGCCCAGAGTGACAATAAAATCACATGGTCGATTATCCATGAGCACATGGGGGAGATCCTCTATAAGCTTTCCTCCATGAAATTCAAGGTATATTTGTTTGTACCATAATTCTTTTTTATTTTTTTGAAATATTTGGTTCTCAAACTTGGTGTGTAAAACTTGCATTTATCATTTTCACACATGCTCGGGTTATGTAAAAGCAGAGCAGACCTCAAAGCTGTGTTCAAATAGGAATTCTAGTGATAAAGATTATAGTATGTCATGTCTAAAATAAATGCTGACATGTTTTCCCTTTTGTTAACCACCAGGCAGTTTAGAACTAAAGTCATTGCTAAGCAGCAGTTAGCTCACCTCAAATGCTTGTTGCTATCTGTCTAAACTCCATGCTCCTTCTTGAAATGATTTCTGCTGCCTAGTTATTTTAAGTATCCTGTTATACACATCATTTTTACTTTTAAGTGGACTCTCATTGCTTGGGAAGTGCACAAGACATAAATAGATAATTAAGTGAAATTATTGGTGGAAACTCAAATGTGTAAGATTGTTTTTATTTTTATTTTTTTGTAAGATTGTTTTTAAAATACTTGATCAGTTGAGTTGTATTTATTTCTAAATCATGATATCCAAGTATAGTTACTAATTTTCTGTTGAGATATTGAGACGGATTCTTTGAATGTGTATGTTAGGATTGAGAGTAAAGTTGTACAAATAGATACTCACTGTATCAAGAATTTTAAAATATCCACATGGTTTGAGTCCTGTCTTTCCACTTAAAAACTGATAACCAAAGGAAATAATCAGAGATCTTTATATGGATACATGTAGAAGATTGCATATCAAACTTCATAAATGTCATCCAAAAGTGAACAGAGCCAGCAGTACATTGTGCCATGTACCTTACAACAAAAATATTATGAAGGCATTAACATCATACATCTTTTTTTTTTAAGGAACATCCAAAGACACAGGGACATGGTTATGGTATAATGAGTGAAAAAAAAGTCAGGTTGCAAAGAAATTCCACATGTAATTTGATCCAAATTTTATTTTTAAAAATCACACATTCATAGGAAAATGATAAAAAAGCTATGCAATAATGTAATAATGATGACTTCTGGTAACATAACTAAAGGTGCTATCATTTTTATGTTTACAGGTACATTGTATCGAATTAACATCTGTTATTTTTTAGTATCATTCAGTATTTTTCTGTAGCACTATTTTGTGGCTGAAGAATGTTTTCCTTTTCTTAGGCATTTGGAAGTTTTTGGTATGGACAACTTTGTTAATGCAGTTGGGTTTGTGTATCTTCCTCATATTTGTTCTCAGAATGATTGGATCAGAGGGCTTAAACACTTTAAAGTCTCTTTTGTACATTTTACTCAATTAAGTGGCTTTCTATGCAGATTTTAAATGGGGTGCATTTTGAGGTTATTTCATGTCCCAGCATGATGATGCCAGGCCCTGAATAGTAAATTCTGTTTTTATTAAATTAATTCCAACTATGTATATACAAAGAGGAGTGTATCTAATATGTGTTGCTGCATAGTTTCCTAATATTTTGCATACTGTCAAGGGTAAATCCTTTGGTTGTTGAACACAGTTAGCAGGCAGGGCACAAAATTGAAATTTTGTCTTCTGTTTATGGTTAGACTATTCCTTTATACATTTTACCCTTAAAGGAAAGAAAATAAGGTTAATCCTGCCTCCTGCCTTGTGTTTTACTAGTGCATCTCACTTAACCTCCTGCTCAAATATAGTAAATACAAATAACTCACTATGTGTTACAAAAATTATTTGCCAAAGGTAAATTGAATTCTATAATGTCTTTTTTCAGGATCCAGTGAAAGATGGTGAGGCGAAGATCAAGGCCGACTATGCACAACTTCTTGAAGATATGCAGAATGCATTCCGTAGCCTTGAAGATTAGAACTGTGATTTCTCTCCTCCTTTTCCTCAGCAAGCTCTCATATGTGTATATTTTCCTAAATTTCTCATCTTGGACCCTTTGCTTCTTTACTGTGCAGGTTTCAGACTAGTGCCTCTGTGTGTAATCATTTGTTTCCCCATTTATTTGATAGGTCTTATATAAAACAAACATTCCTTTGTTCCAGTGTTTGAAGGACCTCCCTGAACATTTCTCCGAAGTGGTGAATGTAGTAAATTTGATATACAATGGCTATACTACTGTAAACTTGTATGTAGGGTGATGTCTCTCCTTGTCCTAGGTTTACCCTTTCCTCATCACTATTAAATTGTAAACAGGACTGCTGCATGTTACTCTCTTTGCAGTGGATTTGGATTGGAAGGCCAGACTTCTATACATTTTGACAGGTACTTTGTGAAATGACTTTACCTGCAGTTTAGCATTTTGCTAAGTAACTGCTTTGCAGGAAATAATTGCTTTTTTAAAAAACATGAATGATTAATGTTTTGATTATGTGTTGCTTTCTCCAGTATAAATCAAGAATATTTGTGGGAAACTGTTGAAAACTATACTGTTTTTAAAGCAGGCTTCTGTGGGACTCAGCACAGTAGATGAATCAGTGCCCTCTAAAAAAGTGAAAAAAGAGCCAGATGGTCAAACTTAGATTAACATCACCTTGTTAAAGCCCATTTTACTTCACTGGGAAAAATTCAGTATCAAGGACTATTTTACTACATTACTAGGCAGTTCTTTTTAAAATTACATTTAAAACAATCCCGAGAACTTGATTTACATCACACCTTTTTTTTTTCCTCAAACATCTTAGAAGGCTAAGCTTCTGAGAATCATGTGGCAGTGTGATGGGCAGAAAAATGCCACAGAGAATATATTTTGTAGTGGTTAAAGGCTGTTTGCACCTCTTAAGGACCAGTTGGGCTTTGGTGATTCTTGGGGCCAGAGTGGCATTATGTTTTTACAAGATAATAACATGTGTCACATGTTTGCATGTTTGTTTGCTTATTGAACCTTTGAACAACCAGTTTCCTGATTGTAGAAAACACTGTTCTTTCATGTGATTTTATGATTCACTGGCTCAAAAGATTTCCCAGAATATCTGTAGCTGTAGGAGCTTAACAGTTCCAATTCTGTTTCATAGGAATGAAGTTAGTTCTAAAATCAGCAGATGCAAGATAATAGAATTTGGGTTATGTGAAAAAAAAGATTATTTCTGCCTATCTTTTAAGTATATGTTTTAAAATAATAGTTTCTGCATTTGTGTGATAAGGCACACTGTAGAATAGCTCTAAAAACATCAGTTTCCCATGAAGTCTTTCTGACCAATCATGCTGGCGCCATTGCTTCCTCTTTGGGAAGAGGAAAGGGTATGTGAATATGTCCAACAATCTCAAATACTGAAATATAATAGCATTTATTTATGTTACACCTCAGTATGTTGTTATTTAAGTTTTTAAGTAATGTATTTCTCTTGGTCTATTAAGGAAAGATGCAGTCAATAGAGAATTCAGCTTTGTGTTTCTTACAGATTGCCATTTTCTTATAGTGGCCTGCTATTCAGGATAAGTATCCTTCTTTAACCTTTCGAAGTATTGGAAGATAAAAATTATGCAGTGATTTGTTGAGATGTGGACATAATGGTGCTGCTTAATCAGTTTGCCTCCAGTGTGGTCTCCTACCTAGAGGCCATAAGACCAGTGGAAATTAAAAGAATTTCAAAAAACTTACAGTTCCTACCTTAAATCTACCAGCAAACTAGGATTGTGATAGTAATGAATGACATGGCAAAGAAAGTTTGACCAAGTTTGTCTTTTGTTGTTCTGAATTTGCAATATACATTCTTACTCCTTTTTAAGAACGTTGGGGTGTGGCTATGAAGCTACTAGAGAAACTTCGCTCAGAGCCTCATTGTAAGTGTCCCTTCATCTGTATGTTGTAGAATTTCACATTAGTCACTGATCAGTTTCTTTAGTAAGAATGTGTCAAAGTTACAATAATCTTTTAAAAAGATGATTCAGTTCTGTATTTATTGTGCTGTGTCTGGTCCTAAGTGGAGCCAGTTAACAAGTTACATATGTATTTTTCCAGTGTTAAATCTCACACATTGTACCCTTTGGAACTTTCCATCCTGAAGAGTGAATAGAAGAGGTCATGTGTATTGCCTTCTTATCCTTGAGGTTTCACTATCTTTATGTTAAAAGTTGTGTATAATTGTTAAAATCTATGAAAGAATAAAAAATGGATTTAAATTAATATTTTTTTCTTTTTGGGGGTGTGTCACCAGATCTGCTTTAAAAAAGAAGTGTCATGTTGTATTTTGGCTTGTTTTCAGTATGAACTTTTAAAGTTTTTTATTTTTCTCTTTCTGCTTAAGATCATGAAGTTAAATTGGGGCCCTCACTACAGACTGCATAAAGTCCTAGAATCATATACCACTGTGATTGGAAAATGTAGTACATGGAATCACATAGCGTTCAGAATATTACTTTAAATTGAAAAAATGAATGGTTTCTAAAAATAGAGTTATAAATGAAAGGAAATCAGTGTACTCATTTGTACTTTTGGAAAATGAACTAAAGCTTTGTAATTCATAGTTTTGCAAGGCAAATTAATTAAGATCCAATGTTCACAGGGCATTTTATTTCCTTAAGAGTATTTTTATTTCAATTGATGCTTTTGCACTGTGGTGTTGAGAAGACTCTTGAGAGTCCCTTGGCTAGCACAGAGATCAAACCAGTCAGCCCTAAAGGAAATCAATCCTGAATATTTATTGGAAGGACTGATGCTGAAACTGAAGATCCAGTACTTTGGCCAGCTGATTCAAAGAACTGACTCATTGGAAAAGAACCTGTTTCTGGGGAAGATTGAAGTCGGGAGGAGAAGGGGATGACAGAGAATGAGATGGTTGAATGGCATCACCGACTCAGTGGACTTGAGTTTGAGCAAGCTCCAGGAATTGGTGATGGACAGGGAAGCCTGTCATACTGCAATACATGAGCTCGCAGAGAGTTGGACACTGAGTCACTGAGTGACTGAACTGAAGGGTATTTTTAACAATTTCTAAAGTAATAAGAAGCAGTGTGAAATTAACAACTCTATATTACTATCGAGTGCCAACTTTCTATAGAGAAATCCTTAAAAATTAACTGGAAAGTTTATTGATTATAGATTTTTCGGTGGTTTTTAGTCTTCTTTGGTAGTAATGCAATATTTTCAGATTATTTGTTTTACTTTGTTGCCACAACATAAGAGTATGAAGAAGGGAACTGATAAAATGCCACTGAAGTTGTTCTAAGGGCTCCCTTTTAGTTTGAGTTCCCCTAGAAGTTGACACTGAAATGTGTCTTTGATTGCAGGCAGTCTGTTTGGGATGTGATCCCAGGAAAGTACCAGTAGGGAAATAGAGAATTAAGACAGAACTGAAGGAGCCAATAAGTGTTATCAAACAAGTCAATATTTTGGAGCACAGTCTGCTGGGGAGTTGTGGGAACAGCTGAAAAATATGCACTTCATTATCCCACCTGGGATGCAAGGAAACTCGAGTACTTTTCAGCGTCACTGATGGGCAGTCAGCGATTCATTGGAAAAGACCCTGATGCTGGGAAAGATTTAGGGCAGGAGGAGAAGGGGGCGACAGAGGATGAGATGGTTGGATGGTACCACCAGCTCAATGGGCATGCGTTGAACGACGATGAAAGCTGCTGTCAGTCATCCACTGAAGGTTGTTCCCACAAAGACAAGGAGAATCAATGACCAGCACATGCATATAAATAGATCAGGTTCAGGTGGCCACAGAAAACCCTTTGCAAAGAGATTCACGTGCATGTGACCCCATGGACTGCAGCCCTCCAGCCTCCTCTGTCTATGGAATTTTCCAGGTAAGAATACTGGAGTGGGTTGCTGTTTCTTGATCCATTGTTCTGCAACATAAAGCAGCACCCTGTAAAACAAACAGGACACTCTTGGAAAAAAGTGTTTAAAAGATAATCTCTTCAAAACGATGTTTATTAAAAAGCAGATAGTACACACACCAGTTATGCTTATAAATAGGCAGATGTGGGGTTTAATGCTTCTGAAGGTAAAGCAACATCTTGGACAAAAGGGGATTTTCCAACCCCCTCATAATACAGAAAAGAAATGGAAGTCCAGAGAGGTTAACTGATTAGCTCTGCGTCACAGAGAAAGTAAAGCTTCCCAGAGCTTACTCAAACTTATGTCCATCGAGTCGGTGATGCCATCCAACCATCTCAACCTCTGTCATCCACTTCTCCTCCCGCCTTCAATCTTTCCCAACATCAGGGTCTTTTCCAATGAGTCAGTTCTTTCCATTAGCTGGTCAAAGTATTTCAGGATCGGTCCTTCCAATGAATATTCAGGACTTGTTTCCTTTAGGATTGACTGGTTGGATCTCCTTGCAGTCCAAGGGGCTCTTAAGAGTCTTCTCCAACACCACAGTTCAAAAGTATCAATTCTTCGGTGCTCAGCTTTCTTTATAGTTCAACTCTCATATCCATACATGACTACTGGAAAAACCGTAGCTTTGGCTAGACTGACCTTTGTTGGCAAAGTAATGTCTGCTTTTTACTATGCTGTCTAGATTGGTCATAGTTTTTCTTCCAAGGAGCAAGCATCTTTTAATTTCATGGCTGCAGTCACCATCTGTAGTGATTTTGGAGCCCCCCAAAAATGAAGTCTGTCACTGTTTCCACTGTTTGCCCATCTACTTGCCATGAAGTGATGGGACCAGATGCCATGATCTTTGTTTTCTGTATATTGAGTTTTAAGCCAACTTTTTGACTCTCCTCTTTCACTTTCATCAAGAGGCTCTTCATCAAGAGGTTCTTTGCTTTCTGCCATAAAGGTAGTGTCGTCTGCATATTTGAGGTTATTGATATTTCTCCCAGCAATCTTGATTACAGCTTGTGCTTCATCCAGCCTGGCATTTCGTATGATGCATTTTGCGTATAAGTTAAAAAAGCAGGGTGACAATATACAGCCTTGACATACTCCTTTTCTGATTTGGAACCAGTCTATTATTCATGTCCATTTCTAACTGCTGATGCATACAGATTTCTCAAGAGGGAGGTCAGGTGGTCTGGTATTCCCATCTCTTTCAGCATTTTCCACAGTTTGTTGTGATCCATACAGTCAAAGGCTTTGGCGGAGTCAATAAAGCAGAAATAAATGTTTTTCTGGAACTTCCTTGCTTTTTCGATAATTCATTGGATGATCGATAGGATCATCAGGGAAAGAAAGGAGCTAACTTAACAAACTTCCCAGGTAATTCTTACCATGGTACAAGTTTGGGGCAACAAGTATCTTTATTCAATATTTAGATATGAAAGGTAACAGGAGATTTAAATAAATATCTTCTGACTGTTAACAGTTCTACTGCAGTCTCTACTGGAAGATTTTTCTGAACCATTTATCTTTTAACATGTCCATAGTTATTGCCCTTAAACAGTGCTCTCCTGATTTTTGTGTTTTCTGACTAATTTAGATTCAGAATTGTCTGGAAGTTTGACACAGTTTCCCTAAATCATGAAATTGGAGCAATAATAATTGTTAAACTCATGGATTTCAGACAGGATTCTGTTGTAGTGGTTTCAGGTATATATTGAATGGACTGCAATTTCTCATTTGTTTCTATTCAGGAGATTTCAAAAAGGAGTCAAATCCTGTGACATATTTTAATTTTTTCCTCCACAGGCTTAATTTGTAAATAAAATGATAGAATATAATTTAATTCCATGTTTTTGAAAAAACAGTACTTGTCCTGAGATTCAAAATTCCTTTTCCTTTAATCCATTGCAATAACTTTTAGTTTGATTTTCAACCATCATCTGAACAACTCTTATACTGTTATAGCTTCCAAGTAGTACATCCAGCATTTACTAGATGACTTGAAATTGCTCTAAGAGTCTTGAACTCACCTTGTATAAAAGCCAGGTTATATTTCAGTCACACAAAATCATATTCATGGACTTTATTTTTAAATTGCATGCTTTATTTCGTAGTCTTTATAAAGACCTTTTAACAGTCATCCTAAAAAAACAATTTAGAACAATATTTTCTCAAGCATGGTATCGCAGTTTGGGTCTTTTGAAAATGGATGCTGAGCTAGAGATGGAGGTACAAGTTGCTTATTTAGAATCAAGAAAGGGAGGGTGCAAAGCCGCATGGGGTATAGGGGAAATCAAAGTACAAAGCAGGCTGGACATAGCGTTAGCCCCCTCCAGTGAGGAAATTCTGGAGCAAATATTGCCAGTCAGAGTTGACATGCATCAGACTGAGAGAGCCAGGCCTTAGTGTATTCCATGTTTCTCCCGCTCCCTCTTAAGAGTCTGGTTCATGCTGCCCTGGAAGGACATGACCTGAGGTGACATGGCATCTGTAGACACAGCCTAGCAGGAGCTGACGGCTGGCAGCTGTCTGCTAACCACAGTCCTGGCAGCTGGGCACCAGTCTTGAAGGGGGATTGCATAGCACAGCACTATTTCTGTGTCCATGAGATGGGTTTTGGAGAGAGATGGATGAATAATATACATTTTAATGTATAGAGGCAAATATGTACTTCATATCCAAGATTTCAAGGATTTGTTTAGGGAGCAGGCCAAACTAGTAAAAAAAATTTTTTGAAGTGAGTCATTTTTAAAGAAAAACATTAAGTACAGAAAAGTGCAGGCAATTAATAAAGTATAGCAAGATCATGAAGGTAATCTTCAAACCAGAAGTTTTAGCAACACTGTTATAAGTGAATAGCCAGACTCTTTTAACACTTGTTAAAATGTCAGTGGTTACTAAATCCTTTTGAAAGGACCAGTGTTAGCCTGATCCTATATAGAAATTCATTATCAAATGCAAAACTCTTTAGCAAGTGACTAATTCAAAAATAGTAAAACATTGACATTTGAATCAAGTAACTTACCTAATTAAATAGAACGAACTGACAAGAACCATTTCAAATACATTTCTTCTAGCAGCATCTCTTGGTATCACTTTGGTTAAACTACTGCCCGGTAAGAAGTAATTTTGTGATAAACATAATTAAATAAGGCTCTGGTATTTATAGAGTTGCTCAAGTAAGAAATAGCACCATGTACCTCTGCAGCTATTTACATTTATACTTGAGGTGTCTTTTGGACTTCCCAAAGCAAATTTTGCATGTGCCACATAGCTTGTGTTTTACCCCAAACTCAGTGGGTAACTTATTTGAACCCTCTGTTGATTAGATTATAACGTAGTTACAATTCTTTGTCCATGAAAAGGGGGCCTATGTCATAGCAAGAATCACCTATATGATATCCTCAAAATGTATGTTCATGAGAAAATTAAATTAATCCCTAGAAACTGCAAACAGAAACCCAGGCTATAGAGTTTATATACTGGGCAGTAGGGGAAACATGCACCTTGATTTTACAGCAATTTGGATTGAAGTAAAAGCAATGTCCATTTAAATATTATGAAGTGAAAATTTTAAAATTACACTTCAATAAAATAACTTACCCCATAAACACAACAGAAGCAAAAAGGATGGGCTTGCTCTTTTGGAAAAGAATTCCTGAATTACAGCTATATAACTGGCTTCTCAGGTGACACTAGTGGTAAGGAACCCACCTGCCAATGCATCAGATGCCAGAGACACAGGTTCGATCCCTGGGTTGGGAAGATCCGCTGGAGAAGGAAATGGCAAGCCATTCCAGTATTCTTGCCTGGAAAGGTCCATGGACAGAAGAGCCTGGTGAGCTACAGTCCATGGGGCTGCAAAGAGTCGGACATGATTCAGTGATTGAGCAATAACAACAATATTAGATGACTTAATTTCTCACAGGATGTTTAACTAAATGCATGTACATGTAAATTTCTAAGCTTTGAAACGTAAGCAGTTCTCATTTGTACTGAAACTTGCTCTCAACCAATAGTAGTTGCCACGCATGGCAGCCTGGAAGGTAAAGCATTCTATGTCTGTGCTCCCACCACCCACACCCAGTGGTCCCACTACCCCACACCCGGTGCTCCCCACCACCCCACATCCAGTGGTCCCTACCTCCCCACACCTGGTGCTCTCCACCACCTCACACCTGATGGGCCCAAGCTAAGATGAGGGAATCAACGGCCAATCCTCTTGCCTCAAAGTGACACAAGTCAATGATGACATTCCTGCTCTAGCGCTCCCCGTGGGATCAGTATAAACTTCAGTTGCACCCACGTGTCTACTTCTTCACCTCTCCTTTTCTGCTTCCCTTACAATTTTCCCTGAGCAGTGCTCCCTCAGCAAGTCACTTGTACTGCAATCTCTTTCTCAGGTCCAACTTCTAGGGAATGGCACCAAACACATCACCTTCCCTTTCCTTCCTCTGGGCAATTTCCTCTTCCACAGAAATTCTCTCTGAGTACAAATAACTACCATGATTTTTCCAGCCATGTTCATACGGTCAAGCATTTTGTTCTGAGGCATTTTCACTGGAAAAGAAAAAAAACTCCATGGACTGGTGGTTCAGTGGTTAAGAATCCACCTTTCAATACAAGGGACATGGGTTCGATCCCTGGAGGGGGAACTAAGACCCCACATACTGAGGGACATCTAAGCCCACGCTCCGTGACTACTGAGCCCATGAGCCACAATTAGAGAATCCGTGCTCCTCAGTGAAAGATCCCGCGTGGCTCAGTGAAGATCCCATGGGCAACAACTAAGACCCAACACAGCCAAATAAATAAGTAAAATACTTTAAAAGTTCTTCACATTGTAGCCTTCATTTTGAGAGGATTGAGAATTCAAGTCCACATATTTTTCTTCTATGACCTTTTTCTGTTCTAGGATCTGAATCACATATAGATGCTGCTCCCCAGGGGTTGGACTTACTTTAAAATGCACCTCTGTGTGGAACAAGGCAAGATCCTCACTGATACTAATATTCTCTTCTCTGTCACCAACAAATATAGCTACATGAAAATTACTACATATTTTACAGCTTATATACATTTAGCATTGAGTTCTAATCACCATGAGCACAATTTGTATCTTTCATATGCAGAATTAACACTTATCCATGAACTGTTATAATTCAATGCTAAATTATTAATGATCTCACTAGAGATTAAAAAATAGTGTTCCTGTGGCCTGTTAGGTTGAATAAAATAGATAATACAGTTTCTGGTGGTGACTGTAGTTTAGTCACTAAGTCATGTCTGACTCTTGCAACCCCATGGACTGTAGCCCTCGGGGCTCCTCTGTCCGTGGAATTCTCCAGGCAAGAATACCGGAGTGGGTTGCCATTTCCTTCTCCAGGGGATCTTCCCAACCCAAGAACTGAATCCAAGTCTCCTGCATTGCAGGCAGATTCTTTACCAATTGAGCTTCAAGGGAAGTCCCCATGTCTAATTTCCAGGAGGAGTATTATATAAAGGAAAACATTGTCTCAACATGTTTAATGATCTCTGAATTTAATTACACTATCAATAGTCTATTAGAAAACATCTACTTAAAAAAAAAGAAAAAAAATATCTACTTGTATCTTTGTGAAAGCAAAGCATTACTAGTTAAAGTAGCAAGGCTAAAATTGTGAAGCTAGTAGATATCATTAGGGCAAAGGAATG